GTGTGTGTGTGTGTGTGTGTGTGTGTGTGTGTGTGTGTGTGTGTACATGTTTTTATTACCTGCTGGGGGATGTTTTTTGATCATTTTCCTGATACACACAGCCTGCTGTTCCTTATGGGGCCCTGGTCCCCATTGAGGGAAATACTATATGTGGGTTAGGATAAGGGGTCAGGGTTAGGCTATAGAAATGACCGGTAAATGGGAAGTCAATGCAAAGTCGCCATGAGGACAGAAGAACAAATGTGCGTGTGTGTGTGTTATTGATTTCTGACTCTAAGCCAGGCATGTCCAAAGTGTGGCCCGGGGGCCATTTGTGGCCCCTGAACTGATTTTGTGTGGCCCCTGACTTCAGTTCAAGAATTATACAAATTTGTTTACAAATTTATCCCCCGACACAGGTGTTTGATGGAGACTTTCTATTTATTAGGGCAAATTTATCACAAAGTAAAATCTTATAATAAAAAATAATGGCAACAATAACAATTATTTGTCTTGAATAACCAGACTCTTAGCTTTTTCCACATCTATTTAGTGACTTCTGCTCAGAAACTAATTTTGCTGCACTCCTTTTAATTAATTTATTAAATTTGTCTGAATACAGCAAGCATTTTTAATGAGTGACCTAAATCCTGTGGGCTATTTTTTCCCCCAATTAAAACCTAGAAAATTTATTTCAATAAGGGAATCCTACTTTTAAAGTTCTGGATCTAGATTAATTTACGCATCCATTTCCAGCAATAAATCTGACTACTTTGTTTAATTTAAGTATTCAATGCTTAGTTTATTGTTGAGCAGGTAAAGGAAAATTATTTTTGGCCCTCAAGTCCTTCTGACTTTATGATTTTGGCCCATGTGGCAAAATGCTTGGACACCCCTGCTCTACACCAATTAACAGCTGTAAACGTAACTTTTAACTTGCATGTCATTTATTGGGACAATGTTTTATCATTCATGTAATTCAAACACCTTTAATTAACTACAAGTGAACGAGCAACCAAGCAGCAAATATAAAGAATTTTTTTTGAGTTTGACCCATTTTATGTTCTCCAAATAAGTGTTTTTAGCTCCTGTTCCAAGTACACAGCTGTTACTGAAGTTATCAAGGGCCAAAAATTAACAATTCTTTAGCCTCTGCGCGTACAAGTACATGTTCATTTATCTATTGTGTTAGCAAAAATACCTCATTAACCAGAGGATAGATTTTAGTGAAACTATCAAAAAGTACTTATTGGCTGTATATCTAAATCTGATTAACTTTTGGTGTTAACCCCGTTCAAGACAGCGGCCACACAATGCAAATAACTCGACTAATTCTTCAGACCCACAGCTGAAATTGGAGCCGAGAGTGAGGTTTCAGGCTGTTCACGTCACCATCACTGTCTAATGTAAAAGGCAAGTTTATTAGTATAGGACATTTCAGCAACAAGACAATTCAAAGTGTTTTACATGATGAAAACAATAAAAAGGAGTAAATTACATTGACAGAGAGAAAAGTTGGACCACAGACTGAAATTAATGTTCTGTACAGAACAGGTAAAGGCAACTCTAAACATGTTGTTTTAATCTTGATTTAAAAGAACTCAGGGTGTCCGCAGTCTTACTTTAACATTCCGTTAAGGAACTGCCCGCAGATTTTCATGCTGGTGTTTTAAAAACATTGAAAAGATACCTCATGTTTTGTAAAACACTTTGAATCGTCTCGTTGCTGAAACGTGCTGCACAAATTTATGAACTGAAATCATTTGTTTTGGTCAAACTTCATTAATGATCTTGTGTGTAACCCCACGCGATACTGTGAGGCGTATTAGCTCTTTGTTAGCATGCTCGGCTACAACCACACCATGTTTAGGTTAATAAACGGGAAATCAGTTGAGCTATAGCCATTGTTGCATTTTGTTAGGCTGTGGCAGCCATCTTGAATTTAGCGAACTAAAAGCTCTGGAGCTATCTGAAGGTTTTATTAAAATCTGTCCAATTTTTCTTGAGTGGTGGGCAGGAAATATCGACTCATCAGCATGAAGGGGGGCTGCCACAGCTGATCTGTGCTGTGGTCTTGTAACCCTGAGGCCATCAGGAAGGGCATCCAGCGTCAAAGAAATACAAATGATTGCACGTGTTTGTTCGCAGTGGTGACCCTCGCACAAGAAATACAAGAACTTGTATTTTAAGCTGTGAGTTTTAGAGGAAAACATAGAAAAAGCCTGATAAAAGGATGCATAAATTTCTTTTTGGGTGTGAGAAAAGCTCTAAAATTGTGTTTCTTTTGAATTCAATGAAGGTTGTGAAAAAAATTAAAGAAATCACAGAAAGCCACAGGAGACTGGAACATTCTGGGTGTGTCAAAGGTATAAAAATAAAATAAAAATTAAAAAAAACTAACTGGGTCCAATCAGTGTGTGGCCATATCTCCAGGAGGAAGGGAGAGTGAGAGGAAAATGAGGGAAGAAAAGCAGACGTTCAGATTTAAGTGAAGCAGCAGAGGAAGCAGGGAGAGCAGGGGTGTTTTTGTTCATTGTGTGAAATGTGATCATGTCCTGGAGCCACTTGGGCAGCTGGGAAGTCCCCCTTCTTCCCCCGATTTCCAGCTGGGAACACTAAAACACACACACACACTACCTATTTCGACTGTTCACTGCTCCTGCTGAGCTTTAAAAAAAGACACTGAAACCTGAGTCACATTTATTACCTTTATTCAGTATGACTACCCTTACACAGCAACACACCCTCCCAACTAGAAAACAAACACTTCCAGAGGATTAATTCAGCAGTAATACATCAAACTTCTCATTTAGTTTTCTTCAATTTTTTTCCCCAAAAAACATCCTGACAAGTAGTCGACATGTTTGTTTTCACTTCTGTGTAAAGGTCCCATGACTGAGAAACATGCATGACATTTAGTTGTAATCAATATACCACTAATCATAATGCACATTATTGATAAGATTACAGTACTGCATGACAAAGTCAAATAAATACCAACGGACGAGTGAAGTCGTTATTTTATATAAAGATATCAAACTCTTATTATGGATCAATACTGAAAGACAATATGAATATTTTGCACAGCTAATTTTTTTTTGTTTTCTTTTATTTATCAGAAATCTTTAGCTTCCAGCAAACAGAAAACCTCTCCTATAAAGATATATATATAAAAAAAACAAAAATAGCATCAGAATTGCACTTTTATTTTGTAGCTTTCTTCCATATTGGTAACTTTTAACGCCTCAACAAACAAGCATTGGCTAAGAAATGGCACTATTCAAGCTTGTTGATGCTAAATCTGTTTTCTGTTTACTGAAAACCTACAGATTCAATAACAATGTAAAAAAACAAAACAATAATAATAAAAAAACAACAAAAAAGTTTAATTGAACAAAAAAGAAAGATAAAATGTGCTCGCTGCACTTTTTATTTTTCCCCAACAATACTATTGATATCACATTACCTTCACCAAACAAAGCTAGAGATGTTTCCAATAGTACACTGATTTACTCCAAACAGGCGCCAGGAGTTGTTTGTTCAATATCAGGAGGCCAAAGAAAGCCTTTGGTTCCCAAAAGTTTGATATAAAAAATAATAATTAAAAAAAACCTTTTAATACCCCTGAATTTATTAACCGGATCACTGACCTGCAGAATTCAAAACAATTTCACTGTTTAAAACTATCGTCTCACTCGTGCAGAAAAAAGGGGCGAAATAAAATTCCCTTTTGCTTTTTTTATTGCTGCTCACAGTTAGTTAAAATCCAAAGTCTTCAGCTATAAAAAGAAAAAAAATAAACATAAAACAGTAATCTAAGATTCTCCCTTGAAACAATGAAAGGCACTAATGGTCAGAACTAAACAAACCAAAACATAACAAAACCTGGACCAGGTGCTCGCCGGAGGAGAGAGCGCTCCTCCAGCTGCGCCTACATCGGTGACGGCTTGTCTTATTCCTGATTCTTTTATCTATTTTTTTTTATGCTTTCTTGACCTAAACGGTGTACCAAGATTTGGCACGATAAAGAGAGAATGAAGCAATTCCAATTTGGAATTTAATTGTCGCCCTTTGCAGAGAATTCTGGAGGCCAGCGATCGCGTTTCGGTGGAACGCTCTTGGTAAGAAGAGCTTGGAAAAGCACAGAGAATCGCTCCAATTCTTCTTCTTTTGTGTGTATCCCTCTTCCTCCAAACACAACTTACCCACATGAATCAGAGCGTTGTCAAGTTTCATTTTGTAATTTTGAACTATTCCTAGGAATAATAAATACATGAAAAAACCCCAGAATTGAATCACCCTGGATTGTTTTTTTCCACACAGATCATGGCAGTAGAACAGAAAACCAAACAACTTAACACGTAAAAATGTAGCAAAAACAATTAAAAAATGGTTATTTGATGGATAACATCTTGAGGACAGTTTCATAATAGTACATAAATGGTTTGTAGAGCATTTTATCAAGTAAATGTATTTTAATTCATTTCAAATAGATGGGTTAGTTCTACTTATATAAAAAGGGATAACTCACAAACCATAGTACTACCATGCTTTCCTATTAGATCAATTATAGTATCTTATAATTCTATGTAATGAAAGTGCGCAGGTTAAAATAAACAAACTAATAATAATAATAAAAAACAAAAAAAAAAACAGCTTAATTACACTGAGAAATGACCACATCTCCCCTGGCTTCTCATTGGACGGTTAGATTAGCCAATCACAATTTCAAAGAGGTTCATTGAACTTGTGAGAAATGTGCTTCCACTGTGACGATTTTGTTAAAATACTTTTACTTTTAGGTATTTTTTACACCTCTGGTTTCAGCATATTTAGGTCTTTGTTCGTCGTCCGAGCAGAAATACTGTCATTTACTGCAAAACGGAGAAACAAAGAAATGACCAGAATTAGTTTTTTGAGGGGTAATCTGAAAGTAATCTGACACCACATAGACGAAGGAAGTTAGTGAAAGCAGCGCTGTCGATGTGTTTCTGAAAGCACATCCACTCACAAGGACCATGAACTTTTAGTTTTAATTTGCAGCTCGAAGATGAAGCCGCACTCAGACAAAAAAACAAAACAAAAGAATCAAAGGAGATGAGATCACCTGGCGTGCAGGTTAATGAAAACACGAGTTGTGTCTTCGACATGCAGGCTGAAGAGGAGTCAGAACCAATGTGCACCGTGTGAAACGTGAAGAGGTCGACGAGGGAGGAGCCTGCAGGAAGAGGTAGGCGGAGCTTTTAAGGTGGCGTATCGGAATGACGCCAGAGAAAGCTGGACGTTGATTTGAAACTAGCTGGAGCTACGTTAGAATTCATCTATCTAAAAAAAAAAAAAAAGGAGGACAGGAGAGTCTAGCCACGATCACATCCTGAGATCTAGTTAGTGCTCGGTGAAGACACAGAGCCTATACACGGGGAGAGAAATCAATGTCCTCTGCTTGGAATCAAAACCACTTATTGGTTTTCTTCCTCCGAGCTTCACCGGGAGTTTCTCCCTCAGGAAACTCGTGGACACGTTTGTTCCACGGCATCTCTCAGACAGACATCTGGTTTTCCTCCTCACCAGTACGTCTGACTATCTAACCTCCTCTCTCCAAAGCTGGTTTTATAATCACGCCTCTACTCTGCACACCTTTTTCTATAATCAGCACAAACTGATAGAACATATCATACTCGTATGTTAAGTGAAAATCAAACATAGGAGTGACTGACCTCTAAAGGAGGCTGATTTGTTCTTTTTTCTCTCTAAAGTGTACAATAGCCTCGTTATCATGCTTTTTGTGCTGTGGCTTATAGATGCACACTAAAGCAGGGTTGACTGCCGACAGCGTTCTGTTTTGAAAATCCTAAAAGTGTTTGCATTTAAAAGGAAGGAACACTGTATTAGGATCCTGCAAGATCACAACCTGAATGTGGCATATTAAGAATATAGATATATAGCTTTATAGTGTTAGAAAATGCTAATTTAAAAAAAAAAAACGTCTTGCAGGATTTCCTTACATCAACCCTGCTTTTAGCATCGTAAAGCTAACATGTCTATGATCCACAAGCAGTACATGGATTTATTAAAAAACACACACAAGCCCCACTTTATATTTTTTACCATTTGCTTAATACTAGCTTGCAATGGTTTAAAGCTATTATCAATACTAAAACATTGCGTTGTTCCGTCCTCACACCGAACAACAAAGGAAAATGAGAGGCCCTCGATTTGCAATGGGTAAAAATGTAGCGCACACACACAAACACGAGGGCCGTTCACTTCAACACTGATACACTGAGTATGAGAGGTTACCTGACAATAATATTTAGGGGACCATTTTCCCCACAAGTCCTTGGCCTAAGTTAAAGAGTGAGTGGTGATGCTGAGGGGGAGCAAGCTGCTGACAATCTACAGGAGAGAAGGTTGTTATAACAAGACACGCAAGAACCTTGTGAGATTATTCAACAGCTGAGTAATCTCCCAAACAAAAAGGGGAAAAAAGGGAGAGAGTAGGGCTGTACTGACACAAGGACAGGGCTTTACATCAACACATAAATACAGCAAGTGTTTGTTTCGACAGGCACTTTCGCCGAGCGCTTTAGTTTTAGATTCATTATTATCCGGTTTTTCTATCCGTATTATTCGAGTTGTGCTCTTCGACAATTTGCTCCGTCTTTAAAAAATATTACTTCGAAACAAAACTATATTGTTATCTGTGTTCACAGTAATGGAGTTTTACCATTTCAGACAGAAAGAAGAGGAACCTGAGGCACCTGAGCTGAAGTACACTTAATTTAGACGCGGAGATCGATTTGTCAAAACGTTCTCTCTCTCCTGTAAGCATGGCTCGGAACAAATCCGTCGCATTGGGTCGAATGTGAACGAGTAGCCCTCTCGAGATTTCCTGTCCCCCAATTTACTCTCATCTGTTTTTACAATGTAGAGCCCTGTAGCACGAGTTCATCCTATTTCACACACCGGACAACAGGACGGGGAAACACAGGTAAAAAGCTCCTAAGCTGCAAAGCCATGCGATTCTATTTATCTCATTGTATTGGTGTGCTAGCATCACAGCTTTAAAATGATCCTAAAATAAAACACCTGTGGTCACAGGTGCTCCTTTTCTGCACTTAATATCTCATTATAAAACCCCTGACTCCCCCTGTGAGTTTCAATTTCATATAGAAATTTATATTTTGCTCCCCTAGCTATGAAGCAGGAGGAGCTTGCATATTTTAGTTTATGTTTCTTGTTGTAAACATTAAAGAGTCCCTTGATTAAAAGGTGCTCAGCCGGACACGGGTCAGTCCTGGCCAAGGTGGAGAGAAGGGGGAGTTGGGGGATAGTTTACCCCCACAAAGGAGCACCAATGCCAACAGACATGCCTAAAAAAGTGAGGATGTCATTAAGTCATATGACCATGAATGACATCATCGTTAGCCTCCACCTACTCAGACGTTGTGTTTATGTTACCGGGCGAGCCATCAGGAGGCCAGAACAGACAAACACCTTTTACATCAAATGTACAGCACCGAGACAGTGGAAAGAATAGACACCTCATAATATCCACAACCCCACCCCCCAACATAACCAGGACCCTTAACCCCACATGCCACACATGTCTACTGCAGTCCAAACGTCTAGTGCACACTGTACACACATCGGCATTCCCCTAAGCGTTAACAACAACACAAACGAGCAGCCGGTTAGAAACACAGCAGTCCCTAGAGGAGCGCAGGCCGGTCAGGGAGCGAAGCGAGCGAGTGGGGCTCTTTAACACTAAGGGCGGGGAGGGTACCACACCCCCCCTCCCCTCTGTACACAGCAGTCCATGCAGACTTTGCAGCCGCCTCTCAGTCGCAGTAGATCTTGTACTTCTCGCTGCAGAAGACGACGGGGCCTCCCAGAATGCCGTTGGGCAGAGCGTTGTTGGGCTCTGGTCGGTTGGAGGCGGAGCATGTGAGACTCTGACTTACGTGGGGGTTGTTGCCAGCGGCGGTGGCAGTGGGCTTGCTGCGCACCTTGGAGCGGCCTGCGCCGCCTCCACGGCGGGTCTGCTCGTGGTCGAACTCCAGGTCTTCCAGACGCTGCGTCAGGGCCAGCTTCTGCTGGATGGCCATCCGCAGCAGAGAGTTCAGGGTCTTCTTCTCATCCTCCGCCGCGGCCAGCTGCCTCTGCATTTCCTCCAGCTGCATAACATATTCATCACAACTGCAAGAGAGGAACAGACAGAAACTGTGAGGTCAGATGTGAACGTTCACTCTGGTGTTGAACAGACGAGTATCTGGAGGTTTTCTCCACAACAGTAAACTGATTTAAAAGGCTTTACTTCAAAGGCATAAAATGATTCTGTTTTTATTACTGATTTACTTTGTATTGTTAAAGGCCTTGCATCCCTTAAAAAATGAACATAGCTGCTATTTTTAGGACTAAACTCTGCCCTAGTGCCCCCCACTTTGAAAGAACACTGGTTTAGGAGATATTTTGTTAACAAACAGACACAAGCAAAGAATTGCTAATAATATACACCTAACTACAACCTCACTTCAAATGCTCCCTTTATTATAGGACTTGTCTGTAGTTAATTTATCACCACCAGGTGGCGCCATTAAGCCACGGAGTTCAGGCCTGAACAGTGAAGAAGCTCCTGCAGCATTAACCTCTGACTCCATCAGCCATTTCAGCTCTCTCCACCACATTACATCAACAGAGGTGTTTAAAAATGCATTTTTAGTTATATATCCAGAAAGATTATTATTCTGTAATCTGAAAGCCTTGATATTCTTTTTCCAATAGCTTAACCTTGTAGAGATTTTGTGTCACCTGAGGAACAGGCTGAGTAGGGGAGGAGTGAAATGAACCTAGAAGTATCAGAGATTCAAGCATCTATTCACACCCAATCTCCAGTTATCTGGTTTAGGTGAGACAGAATCACTTCTGACTCCCATCAAATCAAAAAATAATGAAGTCCGTCCTGCTTCTGTTTGCAGCAGCATCATGCTTTTATACTGGACAGGTAGAAAAACTGGGTCACTTGTTTCAACTCTATCTGCTGTTGCAGCAATCCTGTTTCATGTTCATCCTCTCTCCTGGGTTTTATCTCTCCTTTCAAGCCTCATCATTTCCTTGCTGCTGCTCAAGCCTGCTTGATTCGGCCACTCCTTCCTTTCCTAGACGTCTGTAGTTTCTGCGTGGCTGACGCAGAAACATGAGGGATTTACAGCAGTCGCTTTGAAGGGACAGGTTCATTTTGACGGTTCTATTCTCTAACTGAACAGTAAAAAATATCCCGATTTAATGCTGTTGGTAAATATCACCACGCTATTACATTCGAATGATCTGACATTAAAGCCTTTATTTTGGAGGGGAACAGCAAGCTCAGTTTTATTCTACAAATTGATTTAGGCTCAGCAAAACAGAAAATGTGCAGAAACCTGATTTTTATTAGGTCACTAAGTGAATATAATAGCCATTTTCATAGTGTGATTTAGTTCTTCTCAGTAAATACCAATTGTTTGAACAAAATAAAACAACTTACGCTTATTAAATATTAAATATGAATAAACATAAATACAACTGTTAGGATGACATACTATTTGAGCACATATTTGATGTTTTCTAGAGTTATTGTCCTTTTCTACATTTTTACTGCATCAGGATAAGGATACTTTAAAAAAACGGTTTTAAAAAAGTTAGACCACTCAAAATGTCTGGAAAACACTTTAAGGTTTGGAGAAAAAGCCTTGTTGGGGTGGGCTGAGTCATAGGGAAAAGCAGATGTTTTGGTTGTGTGCCGAGCTGCACGTGGTCTCTGGCCATGTGAACTGTGCCCCAGCCAGACCACCACACAAACATAAACCATGTCCTTCCCTGCTTGTGTGTGCAGCTTCAGTCACTGTGGGACACCCACACACACACACCCACAAAGGGGATCAGTGCTCCTTCATTAAACCCTGTGTGAGATTGGGGAACGACCCTTGCTGGGAGGGTGAGGGGTGCTGGTGTCTCTTCAGACGCTTCAGTCTGTCTCACATGGGAGGCCGTGTGAGTTTCCCGGGAAAAAAAGACGGGGTCTTTTCAGTGGACTTTAAAAGGGTGGGGATACAATAGTCGTCTTTTTGGCCTGCTGATCGAGTGCTGCGGCACAATAAACCAAGACAGGCAGGAGGCTGCTGCTGGCCTGTTGAGGATGAATAGACGCCAACTTTGACAAACAAAAAACATTATCTGCATCTTTTACAGGGTTAGACGATGGAACAGAACCACTGAGCCAACTAAATCATTTATATAGAGATTATTTATGAATAATAAAAAGCTCATTTTGGCTGTCATTGGGAGAAAAAAGGAAAATATTAAATTGTGTCAAACTAATAAATTGGATAGTTCTGAAAACAAGACTGACTCCTAATCTGTGGTAGAAGAAGGCATGCCGAGGCATGTGTCAGGAATGTTGGAGGCTGGAGTTTACTGTTAACTTGACACCACAGACTGCAGCTGGAGAGGCTCACACACACACAGAAACGATGAGGAGAGCGCACACACACACACACTTATACATTTAACCCTACATGTCCATCATCACATTCTCACAGTACAGAAATTCTCTCTAAATTCAATTACAAGCGAGGGGTGTACGGTCACACACATGGCTCGAACAAAAACTCAAACATTCTTTGTGTTCCACTCCATCTCCCTTCATGGAGGCCCGCACACTGTAACTTTCTCCCATCTCAGAAATCCATCTTTACACACCATCAGAGGTGATTACTCTGGGAAACTGAGATCCTGTAGAGGGCTTTAGCTCCTACAGACGACTGAAGAACCGTGCGTTCGCTTTGGAGGAAGGATGGAAGGAGTATAAGGGGAAACAAAGGAGGGGGGGTGTGGGGGGGGTGTGGGAAACTTCACTCAGGCAAGTCCCCTCAGCTTTTCAAAGAACCCCTGACCCAACTCTGTGCCATATAGGATGGAATTTACATACCAATACATGAATCCCATAAACAGACTGAATGTAAGTCTACAACAGAGGTGGATAAGTGGGGCGGGGCATCTGGGGAAATATGTTTTGCACACAAAAGGAATAATGGGAAGATGCTCAACTACTATCACACCAAATATTAGCTCAAAGTCTTTAAAACTGACTGAACTGTAGCCATTCTTGTATTTGTTCAGTTGGCTGTAGTGGCCATCTTGAATTGGGTCGCAGACATACATGGAGTTATTTCATGGAAGTAGGGATGCACTGATATGAAAATTTCAGCCAATATTGATATCTGATATAATTATTGCCGTTATGGCCGATAACCAATTTTAAAAGATATTTCACAAACAAACAAATTATTTATATACATATACACACAAATACACTTGTCTTTTCTTGATACTATAAATAAACAACCAGACCTCTGACATGGCTCTCTACTGCAGTTATTTCTGCTGCGCAGCATCGTTAACACTATCATGATCAAACAGATACCACTGGACCAACCGTCTCCCCTCCCAAAACACAAACACAAAGCTAAAAAGTGGGAAATCAATATTGGACGTTAATATCGGCCCAGTTTTACTTATTGGACCAATACTGATATTCTATAAAATGACCAATATCAGGAAGCTTCATCAAAATTTATCCAGTGGTTCAAGATATATTTCACTAATAAAATTGACTCCTTTATGGGAGCAGATGCTAATCTCATTGTACTATGTCTACAGTGTATGCTGTGTATAATGACAATAAAAGGCTTTCTATTCTATTCTATTCTATTCTAAAAGTTAACTAAAAAATTTTAAACCGATCTCAGTACCTGTAAAACTGACTTCACTAAAGCCATTTTTGTGTTTGATACAGTTGCTTTAGACTCCAGAATGTAATCAGTTGTAGATGTACATCCAATGGATGCTTTCTTAGAGTTTGATTAAAATCTGCCCACTAGTTTATAATTTGCTAACACTACAGACAAATAAACACACAAGTTTTCAGGCAAAAACATCATCATTCTTTCACCTTTGGTGGAGGATAACAAAAAGCAATATAACTCCAGTAGTTGTTGCTATTTGTTTTTTAATTAGAATGTTCCTTTAATTTGCTAATAAGTAGGTTTTCTTGTAGCTTTTCGGCTCATATAGTGCACCAAATAACTTCACGACAACACAATCCATGAACTGATCAGCCTCTGCAGGTGTATGGAGTTACTCCAGAGAGCTCACTGCAGAAGTATTGAGTTTCTGTAAAAGTAGCATGAGGGCTTCTGAGCTGCAGACACACTCCCTGCAACTTTAACCGTACAATACCATATCCGAGCACTCTCATTTCATGAAGCAGCCTTACAACGCACCGAGAAATACTGACTCAGCATGTCATCATGCTGGCATACGGTAATAATTTCAAGTGGGAATAATTATGGAAATATATTGAGAGGAAAAAATAATCACTTCAAATGAACGCAACCATCGCCTGCGTTCCCACATGCATAAATAAACAAACAAGCAGTGTGTAAGGACTTAATCTACTATGTGTTGAACGTATAATCCACACCAAGATAAGGTGAGATTATGGACACAACCTTTGACCGGCTTCTTGAGGGAATCAGAGAAGATTAGCAAGTGTGTGTCTAGCATCTGAGCCTCACACACGCCAAGTCACTGATCTAAAGCAACGCAGACATGACAACACGCAGATTTGACACATTCTGTATCAAACTGTTATTACATTTCATATTAAGTCATGTATGAAGAGAATAAAAACTGATACCAGACAGACTCAACATATGGTAAACACAGATTACATTGTGGCAATAATCCCGTCTTTGGCTACCTGGTTGTAGCTGTGAAGCTTTTGTGTGTGACACGTTCAGTTTGTTTTACTGTGAGTTATTAATGAACTGTGTTGGGATTCAGGATGTGAATTAATTTTACCGTCTGCTCTGAAAGTGGCGTCGTGCTTCTTACCGTGTGGCAAACATCGCTCGGAGAGACGAGAAGGTGGCGGCGTCTTCCTTCAGAGCTTTCAGCTCGTTCCTCAGCTTCATCATGGTCTCTGTCACCATGGCCTTCTCGTTCTCATACTTGCTCTTCAGATTGGCCAGAGCAACTTCAGCTGTCTGTGAGGGGACAAGAGGGAACAAAAGGTTCAGAGGGGCTGAAAGATGTCCCAAGTCTGCCTCTGTTTAAAGACTATATATGATCATTTTATGCTGGTTCAGTTGTGGTTAAAAATAGTTGGTTTGTCATGTGTTTATTTTGGTTCAGAACTGTGTTAATGGTCACGGAGTAGCCACACACAGTTTGAAAAGCTGCCCAAGCAACTGCACACCCACCCACCCTCATGGATATGGTCCTTTGTGCTCTGCACGGCTGCTCCTTTACCCTAAACATACAGATCCTCAGAGCAACTGGCACCATATGGCTTCTCTCGCCAGAAGAATTTGTAACAGATCATGTCTGCAACTCGTTTACTGCAACAGCTGAACGGACCTGGAATAGCTCCCTCTTCCCCCGTTTCTGTCTTTCAAGCACTTTGGCAGCAAGATGGAGCTGACTGAATCAACACAAACATCATCAGATAAGTAGATCTACTAACCTGCTTGTTGGCCTTGAGGACGGTGCGCAGAGTGGCGATCTGTTCCCGCTTGGTGCTGAGCACAGACTTCAGCTTGAGGATCTCCTCCATGCAGGCCTCTTTGTCCTTGTCGGCGACCGTGCCGAGCTCGAGAGAGGCCACCCTTTGGCGCGACAGCTCCGTGGTGCGATCCACGGCCAACTGAAGGTGTTTGATCTGGTCTCTGATTATGGCCACCAGATTGTAGATGTTCATGGGCTCGCGTCGGTGATCAGATACAGGAGAAGGTATGGAGGAGCCTGGGGAGTGGGCTCCGTCGCCGAGGTCGGTCCTATAAGGCTCTGGGAAGAGGCCCTTGGTGAGCAGGATGGGAGAGCGGCGACCGCGGCCCTCCGGGCTGCTTCGGCCACCCTTACCCTCTTTGTAGAAGTCCAGCATGACGCGGTTGGGCGTCTCGTTGTTGCACATGCAGACGTGGTTGTAGAGGGTGGCCAGCTCCTCGCTGAAGGTGACCAGCTCGTCCTGAGCCACATTGAGACTGCCTTGGGACTCGCCTGCAACGTCGCTCAGCTGAAATGAACAAAGACAAGAATCCGTCACCTGTCTGTTCAAAAACAAAAAGATTATTCATAAAATCTGGCTTTTATTAAAATGATCTCACCTTGCGCAGCTCCTTCTCCAGCTTAGCCTTCTCCTCTCTCTCCACATGGCTAGTCTTTTCCAGAGAAGCCAGTTTACCTCCCAGAGTGGTGACCTCATTCTCCAGACGACTGCGTTCTTCTTCGTAACGTGACTGACAGGCCTGGTATTCAGTTTTTAGAGTCTTCAGTTCCTCCTTCAGCTCTCCTGCTTCAGACACAGCCACCTAAAAAAAGAAGAAGAAGCAGAAGTCATAATCTGAGTGTGAAAAAAAAATATAGATGCTAAGCTGTCTACTACAAACATCCTGTTAGTTACCTTGTACTTGCACTCCAGGATTTCAGGTCCGTTGATGTCCACCTCGTAGTAGTCTCCGTCCTCGTGGCTGTCACGTTCTTTCTCGTTGTCTAAAGCAGACTGGCGCTCCTTGCTGGCTTGGAGCTTGCGGATGGTGTTGAGGTTCTCCGTGAGGCGGTTGACTTTCTCCTGATGCTCTGACAAAGCCCCGTTCGCCTGCTCGAGCTGTTTCTGGGAGTCCTGCAAATTGGACAGCAGGTTGACCTTCTCTCGTTCCATCTGAGGAAACAGAAACACAACAAGCAATGAGACTTGATTTTGTTTTGGTAACTGGCTGTAATGAAGAATAAAAAAAAACATATAACAGTAGATTAGAGGAGTATCTGTTTTGTGGTCAGGATGACACCTCCAAACTGCACCAACTAGCTCAGCATCAGGGTCAGGGTGACCTCAACAGTTTGCTGGACTCATTTCAGCTTAGTCACGAAACAAACAATGGCTGGCTCGTCTTACACACAAGAACATAGCTCAGCTTATATCAGAGCAAAGCTTTGTCATAAATTTATCAGTGAATAATGTGAACATTTAAAAAACAAAAAAGCTACTCTAACACTGCTTGACAAAACTTTTTTTGTTTCCCTCTTTTGTTGAAAGAAACCTTGAGCATGACCTGACAGAAATATGGTGATTTTATCAGATTTCTTTAGCTCTGTCATCACAGTAATCAACCACAACTGATGCATTTTAGTGTTTTTTTTTTTCAATCCTGTAACTATATTGGTGTTTCATTAATGGAAAATAAATCAGTCTGTCAAACAGCCACACTCAACGGGACCGGTGACCGTGAAGCCCAATCATAAGTGACCTTGTTGTGATGAGCCAGCAGATGTCAGGTCCTGTGGTGCCACCACCTGCTGTCTGAGGGCTACCGGAGCCTGAAGTTATGTACGTGTGCAGCTCTCTGGATTAACTTTACAGTAATGAGATTTAGATCCCTGCAGCTGAATGAGGCAGGATACAGCAAAACACTTCACCGTGACACACACCTTCAAATAAAACTTTAAAGGGGGATATTATGTATTTTCCAGGCCCGTAATTAAATTTTATACCATAATCGAGTAACTATTTTACCTATTTTTCTGAAAATGCTGTATATACATCAAAAATAAATTTGACTTTTTATCATCGTCTATCTAAACACCTGGAAATTGTCCTCTGTCTCTTTAAGAACCTCCTACCATTTCCAACGCTCCCACTTCAGCACGTTTTTACAACAACGCTTCAAAGGAGGGGTGCTGTTTTATTCATAGAATAGCTGAAGGAAATAATATAAAAATAACAGCTACAAGGCTCTATGTTGGTAAAGTGCTGCAGTGTTTTATGATGGAAGCAACTAACCTGCATCAGCTGTTGTTTGAGCTTCTGGATCTCAGAGATGTTCAGTTCGCTCAGCAGGTCGTCCACCAGGCTGGGTGCTGGGTGGAAGAGCTCCTCCTTCTCGGGCAGGGACATGCGGTTGTTGTCGGTGATGGTGTTGGCAAGTTTGCTGAAGCTGTTCTCGTATCCATACAGAGCCTCGTCGTTGTTGGGCTCAGTGGCGGCATCATCGCTGAACTTGAGACCATCCAGGGAAACGCTGAGAGGACTGAGGGAAAACGTGCTGTGTTGTGGTTTTTTTTTTTATTTTAATAAAGTACACCAAAGCCTGAAAGCACCTTGTTTAAAAGCTGTTTACCTGTGGTACAGGGTGTCTCCGATGTTCATGTAGTGAGAAAGCTCCTTCCTCAGGGACGCCTTGAGCTCTCGCTCGGTTTTGATGGTCTCCAGAGCCTCTCCCAGCTGGCGCTCTGCGATTTCCTTCAGACGAATGGCATCCTCCAACTGGCTGTTCAGGAACTGGGTGTCTTCCTCCAGACGACGGATCTCATGCTTCAAACCCTCAAACTCCACCTGGACAGAAAGCAGAGGCATAACATCACGCATACATAATATGTTTCAATAAACTGTTAATCTGAAACAGATTCGATTTTCTTAAGCCTTAATATTTAGTTTATTTCAGCATCCTGTGTGGTTCAGACTCACCTGACTCTGTTTGAGCACAGAAACCTGTTTCTGCAGAGAGATGTTCTCCTCCTCCAGCTCGGTGTAGTCCTGCAGCAGTCGACTCTCCCGGAACTTGTACTCCTTGATGTCATCACGCAGCTGACTTCTCTGGAGCTCCACCATTTGGCTGTTCTGTAAGAAACAAGCAACAAACAGAGCGAGAAAAGCGGTCAGTGATCAAGATCAGAATTGTATTTCCATACTTTTAGTTGGAACAGATTATGGCTTTTCAATGCTTTATGTGTTGCTGAATAATAAAGTGCTCCCATTTGACTGAACTAATGAGTGCATGTGTTTGTGGGTCTGTTGGGAGTAAGGTTGCCAGGTGTCTTTCCAGGCATTTGGCCACAAGTGTGTTCTCTTGCCAGTTTTAATGGCACCAAAGAGATTGAAGGCTTCTTATCTCTTTCTTAGGGACATGCATTCAAAAGACGGGAAGCTCTGTAATGGTTCTAATTGCCAAAAAGGACCATCTAATTAGGATTTATTCTTTGTAGACACGAGCCAATTGAGACAAATGAAGAAACTGAAGTAAAAATTGGTCCAAAAATAGACTGAAATATGCTTTGACTGGAAGTGAGAAGAATGCTCATACATGTACGGTAAAATAAGAATAAATGGTAACTTTCCATTTGCTCTTAATACAGGATAAAGCTCTGCTCCTAACTTAAGAGTAATTTGACCTTAAGCTAGTCTGGTAAGACCTCATTAACTATATACGAAGGGATACCATAAGGATTCTATCAGACCTATTGAGCCATCTGTGCTCCTACCAGCTCCCCCTGTAAGGTTTATTACAGGGTCATGTGTCGACCTGTGTGGCAGTGCATGTTGAATGGTGCAGAATATTTAAATATTTTGGTGAGCGTGTGACTAAAAAGACACGGATATAGCTAGAGTTTTTTTTTTTTTTGCATGTGTGTGCTTGGGACTTTGTGTGACTGAGGTTCTTTTAGAAAGATTGGCACAGATGACCTAAAACCAAATTTTCCACTTATTTAGCTTTTTGTCTGATTACTGTGGTCAAAATAAAAAAAACCCTGATCTAAGATTGTTTTAGCTTCCTCTTTGCACACTTTACTTTCTCACCACTGCTTTGAGATTTGATACTCATCAGAAACAACATGAAATGAATTAAACTATTATAAGAACTAGAGGGTCAGTAGCTTGATAAATGTTGCTGCAGTTTGCACAGTTTTGTGGTTAATGTTAACAAATATTAGATTAGATAGACATAATTACTACATTCTGAGTGTTACATCAAATGTCATTCAGTGGTTCATCAGGGTTGACAGTTAATGGCAAAAGTTTAGGCTAAGATTTTGCTTGACGTGTAGAGTTTGAAATATATGATTGTCATAACTCTTACTACCACATCAAATTCTAGTTCAACATCTGTGCAATTAATAGTGTTTGGTAAGGCTGCTTAGCTGTAACAGCCATCTTGAGTAGGGTCGACTCCATATTAAGCGATTATATTGTAGCTGTAAGGGCATTCATTACTTTTTAGAGACTCTTTACAATCCATTCAATGGTTCATGAGATATTTTGGTACCAGACTGACGAACGCACACACACAAGCAAAAACATTTTTTCCTGCCTTTCGAGCAATTAACACATTTCATTCTAAAATAGCTGAACTCAGAAGACTTTCTTGCTCAAATGTTACCCAGAGTTGTAATTTCTGAGAACGAAAACGCATAAATATTTTTGATGACTGAAGGAGTGTACGCTTCCCGTTATTACACTCTTTAAATTAATCACAATGTGCAGAGCAGAGTAGAAACTGTCATTTGAATTTGCATTAATATTAATCTGGGTGTTGGACATGTCTGATGAGAGTCCATCCATCCATCCATCCATCCATTTTCTTCCGCCTATCCGGGGTCAGGTCGCGGGGGCAGCAGCTTCAGAAGGGAGGCCCAGACCTCCCTCTCCCCAGCCACTTCTTCCAGCTCCTCCGGAGGAACTCCAAGGCGTTCCCAGGCCAGCCRAGAGACATAGTCCCTCCAGCGTGTCCTGGGTCTTCCTCGGGGCCTCCTCCCGGTGGGACGTGCCCGGAATACCTCACCAAGGAGGCGTCCAGGAGGCATCCTAACCAGATGCCCGAGCCACCTCAACTGGCTCCTCTCGACRTGGAGGAGCAGCGGCTCTACTCTGAGTCCCTCCCGGATGACCGAGCTTCTCACCCTATCTCTGAGGGAGAGTCCAGCCACCCTGCAGAGGAAACTCATTTCGGCCGCTTGTATCCGGGACCTCGTTCTTTCGGTCATGACCCAATGTCTGTTGAGAGTGTTGGTGCAATAATGCATAAACCATGAGTCCTAAAGCTTAGACTCAATGCAGTGGTGTGGACTTTTGAAGGACAGTAGAATTAGAGTAAAAAAGGTATTTCATAGCATTTGGAGGTATAAAACAGTGAACCCGTCTGGTTCCTGAAGAGTGATCGCAGAGTCTCTTTGTTTTAGCTCAACAAAGCAGTGGCAGCTGGCTGCTCGGGTCTCTTCCTGGTCAGGGTTATGTGCCTCAGCTGGAAGGTCGGTGCTGTTCAGTTCAGATGAATAGACACTGCCACTGAACCTGATTAAGACGCTACACAATCTGATTAAAATGTGCATGCAGGTCGTGACCTTTCACCTTGCTTCTGCATGCTCTGCTACAACGAGCCCGAGAGACTGAAGGGGAGACCATGTGTGCCCCAAGAGTTATCAACGATTATTAACATGAGGAACTTACAGCCCTCTGGGGAATATTTCTGATAAATCACAAACATGAGAGTGTCTGTAAAAACCGGGGTGCGATATTCTGAGGGCACTCTGGTGCCACCCACAAATTCCTAACCACAGACCTAAGTGAGGTCAGTGACATTTGTCCCTTCAGCTGATGTCTGGACAGCTGCCTTAGTAATAACATATACATATTACAGAGAGGTGTGTCACTTCAATGTGAAGAGGGTGGCAATAAGAATCATTGAAATCTTTAAAATAAAGTGAGAAGGAGAGCATGGATGTGTTTATTCCTCAGATGTTCTTGTAAAGTGGTTTTAAAAACTCCTCACAAATCTCTGTGAATCAGATCATTTTCCATCTCTAACATTTAAGCTCTACTCTTAATCCTACATTTTATTTTTCAGTAAACTACTTTCATTAAAATTCCAGGTCTAAAACTGTCTAGATGTGTTTCTACATAGTACATTGAAGATAATATAGCCATTAAATCTTCTAGAAATGCCTGATGGCTCAGTAAGCCAGAGTGAAAAGTTTTTGGCTCAGTCAAAGAGTAGATTAAATATTTTAATGCTTTGGTTAAAAACCTTTCTGTGTTCTTAATAACTCAGTAGAAGCCAGTTTGTCCTTCTGAAAAATCCATATAGCCTCTTAGTCTTAGTTTGGCTCCCACAGAAGTGATGTGCAGACCCCCAGATGGCACACAACTGGATTATTTATATCATTGCAAAGCCTGACTTAAAGAGGGTAAAAACTATGTTCAATCCCATTTCTATCCCTCCATTTCATTCTCCATCCTCTTCACTTAGCACTTAACCAAAATGCACGTGCCAGTCTCTTTACCCAGCAAACAACCTTCAACCAAAGTGCAAAAGCTCCCAGATGCTACGACACAAAAAGCTTCAGGGTGTTTCCTTCCTACTCCATTTCTCTGCTTCTCTTTCTAATACCCCTGACCTCCATTTTGCCATTTCAGCAACAGCATGCTTTCATACAACAATCATTCGTCACGGCTGAAACATTCATCTTGATAAGGTTTAATCTATCTGAGAAAAATGGACAGAATGTTTGGCCTAGACACTGTATGTCGAATAATTCTGCACTAAAGGGCACAAGCTAGATGGTGAGGAAAGGTAAAAAATCATTAGATTTGACTCCCCCAATCCAAACTCATCCAAAGATCACCTTGAGGAGAGCTGAGGAATGAAAAGCAGATGCAGTGCAGCAACAAAAAAAAAGCAAAGAAATGAAGCTCAGGGGCATCATTGCTTTTGTCAGAACAAAGGAGGAGGGTGAAAGCTGGTCTGCTTTTATCTTTCTCTATTTTTGCAAGCTGCTGTCATTCTACTCAAGCCCAAACTCCACAAAGGAAAGAAAACAAGGTCAAGGTCAGACACCTCAATAAAAGGGGTTGAATTTAAAAAGAGTGAGAGGACTCCTAAAAGTGAAGCTTTGCCCTGTGCGTGACTACTGATAAACCCACAGGCTGACAGTGGGCTTCACACACACCAGTGATTTTGAGGTCATGTGGATGTGAGTGGAGTTTTTTACCCATTAGTGGGAGTGACTGTGCAGGCATGTGTGTTTGTGTCATCAATTTATCAGTAGCCATTGATTTGGCAAAGAAAACCATTTTGGTTCAGTGAACCGAGGGGTTTAAAGACAACAAATGCATTTTCAGCCTAATTAGTTACCAATGGAAATCCCCTAACTGTATTTCAAGAGATGTTCCCTAAAAATAGCAATCCATCTGGGGGATATGAAGCTTCTGATGAGGCACCTATCTGAAGACTGAGTAGGAGGAGGAAACCAGATATTATCTGGATGGGTTTGAGTGGGCCCGGGCCCATGTCTGTAATTTTAAAACGAGAACAGATCATTCTCTGTAATGGCTATCTTCAAACATCTTCACCTCATATTGCACGGCCGTTTTGATCTTTTCTTTTTAGAAGCAATCTCTTAACCTCTTCCCCCATTTATCTTTCCATACTGCCTCCTCCTTCCATCCAACCTCAGGAGAAGAGGCGATCTGTCTTGCCATTAACGTCACGAGAAATAATCAGGGAGTAGACATCAACACCCCAGAGCCCTCCAGGACTAGGAGTCCTATTACATTAGCCTCAGTCTCCGGAGATAATAACAGGGAACAAAGAGCAACCCTCCTTAGATCTCTGTACCACTCACCTCAGACCCTTCAGTAGTCAAGGGGAGACTTCAACACTGCTTGTGATATTGCTTGAACTTGTGTGCGTCACTGTTCCACAACTAAAAAGCCTGCCAAATACTCTTTTGTCTTCTGGGTCTAATAAAACAAACCCAAATAACAGTCCTTACTTACAATAAATTTGCACTGTAGTTGCAAATCTTGGGGAGAAAATATAAAAATACTTAATCATATTTAAAAATGGAAGTACAGTTCTAATACAAAAAAAGTCTGTAGGGAGTAATAATACAGAGCTTTCATAACATTTGGAATATTCTTATCTTTGGCTTTGCTGGATAATTTGCAGACACTCAGCTCGTGGCGCTCTCCATTCTTTGAGGATAATGTTGCTACATTCTCCCAAGACATGAGACTGAATTTAATGAAGTCATGCCTATGAGACTGTGCCTTTTCACAATGTTACAAGCTCTTTTGTGGGGGTTTAATCCTATAGAAGGAACTCTAGACGTGAAATGCATCTTATCGGTGCTTCGGGCTGCCATTTGGCAAAAGAAAAAAAATGTTGGCTGGTTGGATTGTGACAAATGTAGCCAACTGAAATGCTGTAACTAAAATGGTTGTGAAAGAATTGGCCTCTACAGTGTCAAAATCCTGTTAACTAATTGAAGCTTTCGCCTGTGTGAAATTATGCTGTGAACAAAACTGATCTGTGAACAAAACAGGAAAATTTGAAATGTTTGGATGGCTTTTAAATACCTTTATTTCCCCACAAAAATACCACAGCTATAAAAGCTCCTCTTCACAAATAATCAAGAGCGTCTAGATGAAATTTGTAGACGAGTGAAATAAAAATTGCAACAGTTGCAGTGCATGAAAAAAAATCTAACTTACAGTCCTGCTCCTTCTCTAACGGATTTTAGGACTCCTAATTCTTTTGTACCAACTTCAACGTGCCCCAGCACCCTCCTCCTCCTCCCTCCACTTGCAGCAAGAGCTTTGAGCTAATTTGAAATCTGGGAGACAAAGGCGTCTTTCAGGCCCTGCGATCTGATCTGGTCACAGTGCCAGCTACGGTGCCCAGGCTTTGTCCGTTCGCTCACACGCCTGGCACCCAAAAGTGTCATTCGAGGGGTGTCATTATCTTCAATACATGGGGCAATTTACACTCCTGACCATTTTATCGCACCAATTAGAGCGGTGTGAGGCTCACTGCAGAGGAGCAGGGTCTTCATAAAGGGAACAGCAGTAGCAAAATGGCCAACATGCAGACCACCAGTGAGACAGCCAATAAATCAGAGCAGCACAGTGTTTGAGATCCCAAAATAACAAAAATATCCAAATTAAATAACCTCAAGTGCTGGATTTAGGAAATGCAGTGCAACTGTAGAAAGCTGTGATGTTCGATTTGAAACCTAATTGTTAACTGGTAGTCAGTTTTATAACACATAGCAAAGGCTCTGTTTTAAAAACAACCCTGGTTAAGTACATCTGGCTCCTATAATACTCCGCTCACACATATGAGCAGCAGCTGACCTAATTATGGTCGCATTTGGAGCTTTTTGAAACTTGGCCATGCCATTTTTAAGTCTTTCTCTAATCTTAGCACTGCTGACATCTGCTTCAAAATGGTGACTCCCAAAAAAAAAAAAAAAAAACTGCAGCACAGTGCATCTGGATGTGGTTCAAGGAGGAGAGTACTTTTTCTTAAAATCGTCAACCCTCCCCACCCCTTATTAAGGTTTTGACCCACAAAAACAGCGGGCTCAGCTAAATCTTCTGTGCACAAACAGGGAAGATGAGTTTAATATTCTTATGGCAAGATGATTAAACGGGAACAGATAAACAAGAACAGATCAAATAATGTCATGCAGAAGAGAGTAAAGTAGGGGGCACACTGAGCTCTGAGCTGCAGCTGGGTGGATAAATATAAAGAAAACATGTGTAACACCACCAATTTTCACTCCAAAACTCAGCTGTAGACTGGTGATACTGGAACTAAAAGTTCCTGTTGACACAATGCAACATAAACAAAATGTTCTAATAAAGCCAAACTCTTGATAAATGCTGCTCCCTCAAGTTTCCTCTGATTCCAGCTTTGATTTAGGCTTTCAAGGCAGCAAGGACTTTATCCTCAAAGAAACTTCCTGTTCATCTTATTTAATAACTCCATGTCTTTGAGTCAAACATGTTTGCAAACACCTGTCAAATTTAAATTATTATCGCACAACTCTTGGCAAAAACAGAGCCTGAAATTTGTGCTGTGCTCATGTCTCTTCTAATGAGGTTAATTAGCTGTGAATAGATGTAAATACAAGCATGAAGAGGTCGGACACCGTCCAAAGTGGGACACATAACGATGCTGTGCAATGAATTTAGATAAGCTTGCAGGAATGTGTGCTCAGATTTACAGGAACGACTTGGCTGGGCCTCGGGCAAACACTAATGGCTTTGTCTCATCTGAGGTGAAAGGTTTCTTTTAAATTTATGAGGCTTGCCTAAAAAATGATTAAATGGGCTTTCATGTAGACTCCTGCCATCTGTTCTAATAAAAAAATAAAAAAATAATAATAATTATAACTGGTCGTTTACTTTTCCTACCTTGTGGCTCCACCCCAGGAGACAAGAGGGGTGGATTTTCTCACATTAGCCTTGAAGGAAAGGTGTTTCTACAGTCATTAATGTGATTAGTCATCTTTTCATGTCATAACACAGATGAGGTTGTGGCAGCCTTAAAACAGGAAAATTTGAGATACAAATGTTGATGCAATGTTGGCTCACATGTGTATTCTTTAGATCAAGTGGTGGTGAATAGCTGATTGTTGTTTTGCAACTTTTAAAAAGCACCTTGAGCCTCAACAGCTACAAAGTGACATGAACAAACACAAATCTCTGCCTCAAACAACAAGGAAGTGCATTTTCAAAATTCTGAGAAGTAGCATAAAAACACATCCTGATGAATCGTATTGTCTCTTTACAATGGCAGCTTAAACCACACCGTGTACCTATATAAACAAAATGAAACAAGGAGCAGAAGGGTGGTGTGGTACATATTCTGTGTCTCCATCTCTTACCTCTTTCAGGTCTTGGGAGATGGCGACGAGGTGCTCATTCTCAGATTGGGTGTTGGCGAGGATGTTTCGCGACTGCCGGAGCTCGTTCTGCAACTCCAGGACTCTCTGCTCGTAGTAGGCCTCCTTACAGGCTGACTCCTGGATCAGAGACTCTTCGCGACTCTCCCCATCTGCCGCCACCTTCCTGTGGTTGGTATAAGCTTGTCCAAAGGCCTGAAAGAGGAGCAGGGGGTTCTGGTTAGAACTAAAATGATTAGCGATACCTGAACCTTGCTAATTAGTGAGCAGATTCAAAGTCCACCTTAAAGCACTAAATGGATTTTGCAGCATTTTCTTGTGATTCAGACATTTTAAACTGACACTTATCTCTACTTTCATGGTTCACTTGAGGACCAGCCATGACCTCCCAAAACCTTCTGGTCTCTTTGTAGAGATTAACAGCTCTGATTCATCTGGGATGCATCAGAGTGTCTAACCCACAAACCCATCCCTCCCCCTCTACCTCCTGTGCAGCACGTGCACCGCAGTGATTCCACAGACAGAAAGGCCAAAGAGGAAATGGACTCGGGTCTAAGTGACCATGAGAGACCGGTTGTCTAATGCTCTTAAAACCTTAGATCACTTCCAGGGACGATCACGAGATCAGATGAGGGGATGCTCGTTGTTGAAAGGCAATGAACCGTCGTGCAGTTTGAGTGTGAAATATGACAGACTTTTTACTGCTGCTGATCCGTCCTTAATTTATCTCCTAATGTGCTCTTAGCCTGCAAGGCAGAAACAACAACAAAAAAAACCCCAGCAGAGACTGACCTTCATACTGCAGCAGAAACTGGGTTAGACAACACTCTCCTTGCTCAAACTAATCACCATGCTGATGACAGATTTCATTTTCAATCCTGTAGACACTGGTGTTCAGATGGAAATTCTGACTCTTATCTTGTCTAATAGCTTGTGTGTGCAGGCGGTAATCTGAAATCACCTGAGGCACCAAATCTGACCTTGTCTGCAGCTTCACTCTCCCTTCTCTCTGACCGCCTACCCCAAATATGTCACACGTGACTGGCTGCTGCAGGATTTTCTCCATTTGATTGAGTATCCTATTAATCCCAGTAATTCCTTCTAAGAGAGGAAAAAAAAACATTTATATTTGTATTAGCCCACTGACCTACTTTTAGAACTTGGAGGAATAGGAACATTTGTACAACTAGTTGAATGAATCAGGAAATCAATGCCGTGTGCAGGGCGGTGAATAAATTTCACATTTCGGTGAAGCTGATGGCACAAACACAAAACAGGCACAAATCAGCAATAAGAACAGATTAAATCTCACTGAGAGGCACATATGTTTTTATCTGTAAGCATCTCTGCTCAAGTTGGCACCATCTGCTCACAAACGAATCATTTCATCCGTCTACGAACCCCACTTTGTTGCCACAACCTCACACTGTGTGAACTGTACTTTATACAACTTTACATTGATATCAGTTTTGCGTCACAAACATTTATATTTTATTTTATGATTATTCGTTTGTGGGAAATGCCATCTTGACACTAACTACTGAGACCGGTTTGTCACAACAGGCATTTATTGACAGCCAGAGTCTGTCAATAAACAATTATCATTTACAACTATAGATAAGAGTGTGCGTTAAATACTTCTATTTCCTCTCTGTGCCTCGTTCCCAAAAATCACTCAATCACCAGGAGGCGGTATTTGATTAAAAACTCATTAGGGTGACTGGATTAACTCTATCAGAAATCAGGGGAATCCCATCAATATAATCTTGATGCTGCATAGTTGATGCCACGAGGAGAATAAATCCAATCTCAGGGGGCTTTCATTCAAACAAACAGAGCCCAAAACACACTGACCCAATGACTTTAATCTTAGTTCACCAAGCGTGCACGGCTTTAAGGCTACTCCTAGGAGAGGGTACAATGAGGACAAACGCGACCAAGCCTGTAATCTCTCAATGAACGGCCCACATTATTTATAATTCATCTTTAGTGAGCCATATGTTGCAGTTTTTTTAAGTGGACGTGCGAGCAGGGATTAATAATCTCATGTAAAGCTAATTATTGTTAGATTTTTTTGTCTGGGTTTGAATTCCTCACAGATGATGATATCTGACTACAGAAATAAAAGCTAACACTTTATAGATTGAATCCAATACTAAACACGATGTCTGTCTTCATTAGAGGAATGAACAGTTGTCCTGGTTTGACTCAGCTTAGAGACCAGAGTTCAGAATTATTGCGATCATAAAACCTCATGTGACTGAGGAACTGATTATGACTTCAGTCAACTCGGCTCAGGTTTTTTTTTTCCTCTATAAGCTGTCAGAATGACGACTTCCTTAAACTATTTTCAAACCATAACAGAGGATCTATCTACCCAAGTAACCACAGCAAATACTGCTACATGGGTGAACTGTTACAGATAACTTCTTGTTCTTTAAGCTTTAGTTTAGATCAGGGGCGTCAAACTTATTTTCTCCGAGGGCCACATGAGCGATATGGTGAAGGGCCAGTTGTAATGAACTTTGACGTTTCAAGTTTAAATTTGACTAAAGTGTTTTAACACGTCCTCTTTTACTGATAAGAACTAAGTGTATGACTGATTAAATCTGAAATAAATAATAATAATACTGATGATGCATTTTATTTATAAAGCACCTTTCAGGACACCCAAGGACACTGCACAATAGAAAAAAAAATGTAGATACATATACATAAGGTAGTGTGGGAGAAACAGAAATGTGGAGTACAGAACAGTCATGTAATAAAATACAAAAATGTAGACAAAGTGAACAATGGGGTTGTGGGGGGGGGGGCATAGAAGTGTGGACAACAAAAACAGGCATATATTGAAAATAGGAATTAACAGCGGTAGGCTAATTTGACAAGATGTGTCTTCAGGCCAGTCTTAAACAGGACAAATACAGAAATATTAAAAGTTAAAACTAATAAAGTTTTATTCACTGATGAGTTTCTAGTAAGTAGCTATTTAGTTTATGGTTGATGTTGACTTTAAAGCAGCTCATTTTCAGACATTAATACTGTGCTATCCAGCTAAATTGCTCAGTCACTTAAAGTTACATCAACAGTTCAGGGGCAGGACAATTGTTATTATCTTTCACCTTTTAGGTTTATTTTGTTGCATTTAATCATAAATATAAAGTTTACCATTTTTTTATTTTATTTATTTACTGTTATTTTACCAGGCAAATCCCATTGAGATCTCAGATCTCTTTTTCAAGGGCGGCCTGGGCCTGAAGGCAACCTATTGTACATGTTTTTGTGTTGTGGGGGAAACCGGAGTACCCGGAGAAAACCCACGCAAGCANCCTGAAGGCAACCTATTGTACATGTTTTTGTGTTGTGGGGGAAACCGGAGTACCCGGAGAAAACCCACGCAAGCACGAGGAGAACATGCAAACTCCGCACAGAAAGACCCCAGGTCCGAACCGGGGATCGAACCCAGGATCTTCTTGCTGTGAGGCGTCGGTGCTAACCACTGAGCCGTCGTGCCGCCACCATTGATGTAAGAAACAATTTTAATGGTAAGTAAAAAAAAAAAAAATCCACACGGGAGTCACCCGGGGGTCAGGCCTTGAGTTTGACACATGCAGTTTAGATAAAGCCTACAGAAAAAGCAAGAATGGCTTTGAATGTTGAATTAGATTCAGCCTGAAAAGGTAAATCTACTGAGCACAATGTGTTACTTCAAGGTGAATCCCCCATTTCATCAAAGCTCAAGACGACCATTTTAAAATAAATAAATGCATATGGCTATGTCATTACGCCCTCACTTTATATAACTTGGGAAGTTAAAGCAGAATAAACATAAGTTATTTCAGCTAAAAAAATGTTTCTCATGCTTCAACAGACCTGTGCGCCAAGCGCCAAAAGAGAAGAGTGATTTGGGATCAATACAGCAGGACTCAGAGTCTCAGTGGGGCTGAAGTTTCCATCTATATTGTTATTTTTAGTTCCTGCATTGTCTGTAAAGGTTAGTGTTTGTGTGGGATGAACCGAGCAAGGCAATGGGATCTTGGAGGATACTGTTACTAAAGATCAATGATGGGTTATGAAACTGACCACACTGAACAAATGAGCCTAACATCAAAAGTCAACAGCATTTCTGTGAATTCTAGTGAGTTATTTTGGCTTTTTAAGAATCAAAACCCAGCAACACAATTTATGTCTCAAAACTGCTCTCTTTATGGCTTTGACACTGAAAGACCACCTACACAATAATGGCATATAAGTTGTTTTATCGTACAGCCTTGTGTCTACACAAACATTTTAAGAGCCCCGAAAAGATGTTTTTGGAAAGGGTTTTCAAGGAGAAAAAGAAACTAAAATGCCACCCTTGCATTTACATGTAGACAGAACAAATCTGTTCGTAAACAATGTCAAATCTCTACCTCTAAGCGAACCTAATATGTTTTAGATGTAAAAATAGTAAAACAGTATTATGCCCAGGGCTGGGCAATAATTCAATAACATATCGTGATAGACACGTGGTCAATATCATTGAAAAATTTGTTCCATAGAATATTGATAATTTCACTAAACTCTGATCCAGAACTGCAAGGCATTCTGGGGGATGTAGGCAGAGAAAAGGCTTTAGCTGCTCGACCTTCCACAGTCCAGCTAAGCAAGGTTGGTGGAATCAAACTCACTCTTTGGTAAACTAGCAACAACCTGCTGAGTAACAAGTAGCAGCAGGTTCGTGTTTCGCCTCAGAGCTGCTTCTAAATAAAAGAACGATGTGGAGGGAAAGGAAAAACAAGTGCAACAGCTCAAGAGGAAATTGTGGATAAAAGAGGAAAAGTAATGTCACCAGTTTGGCAGTTTTTTCATCATTTTTTTCTTCCTGTCATGATTCATTTTTTAACCATATTGCCCAGCCCTAACTATACCAACACTAGTTAAAATGTAGTACATATAACTATCCAGTAAGAAGAATTGTGTACATAATGTGAAAGCTTGTGAAAATGCTCCACTGTCATTTTTTTGTGTGTTTCCTTGTGGATAAAGACATTTCTAAAAACAAAGATGTATCTACAATGATATGTTTTGAAAGGACAAAAAAAAAGAGATTGTTTTGGAAAACTTTTTTTTTTTTTGTTGTGGACACGGCTTTATGGGATTTCAGGCTCTGAATCTAATGCAACACCAAACAATCTGAAACAGTAGATGTGTTT